TGCGTTCTTCCCCCACACCCCCTCAGTTGCTATGGGGAAGGGGGGCCACTCTGAGGCCTCACCAGACTCTACACTCTCCCTTGGCCACTGGGGAAGTGGGAGGAGAGAGGCTGCAGCATGGCAGTTAAGTTATGCTGGGGAAAGAGGAGGAGGGAGGGGGATAGGAGGCATGTGGGACACAGTGTGATGTGATGAGGTCACTCGTTCTTCCCCCACACCCCCTCAGTTGCTATGGGGAAGGGGGGCCACTCTGAGGCCTCACCAGACTCTACACTCTCCCTTGGCCACTGGGGAAGTGGGAGGAGAGAGGCTGCAGCATGGCAGTTAAGTTATGCTGGGGAAAGAGGAGGAGGGAGGGGGATAGGAGGCATGTGGGACACAGTGTGATGTGATGAGGTCACTCTCATCCCAAAGGAAAAACTTTTATATAGAGAGAGAGAGCGAGCGAGAGAGGAAAAAAAATGCATATCATGAGCCAGCCATGTCACAAAGTTCTAATTGTTTGGGCTTTTGTTTTACAGGGAACCCTCCAGATCTCCCTCCACACGTATTTACTACTGGAATAATCATGACTATATTCTCGTCACTTGTTGCTGTGCTCCTGGCAGTTCTTTCTGTAATATTCAGAGTTGACTTAGTTTTATTTTACAGAGACATCACTGGAAAAGATGATACTGTAGGAGGTAGGACTTGGCAAATGCTGCCATTGGTACAAGTTCATGTAGTGATATAAAACTATTAATAAAATAGTATACTCTGACTTCCGGTAGGTCCTATAAAATAGTGAGATGGAAACAAAAAATCCAGGAGAGGAGGATATTGCACAGGGATGGATGGAGAGGGGTAAGCAAGGCAAGACTTGGCTGAGGAGAGGAAAATAAAATAAATGAATAAGAAGTGTGTGGCTGGCAGAAAGAGCATTGAAAATACAGACGTGACTAGGAGTAGGAGAAAATAGCAAAGCTGTCAGATAGCATTGCATATTGTTTTAGCATGCATCATCCTGTAATGTGTCCTGATTTTTTTTTCATTCTGAGAAGGAGTGTATCCTGCAGCTGTCAAATTCTTTTTACATTCACCTTGCTAAATCCTTGTTCTTTCCAGAGATCACTGGAAAGATGTTGCTCCAATGTCAATGGGGATTGTCAATGTCAACCTTAAGGAAGGCAGGTTAACACAAAGAAGCATTAGTGTGGCCCATGCACAAGAGCTCACCACTTGATATTGACAGATGGCCTACTTGTACTGTGTCTGATCTTCCCTTTGTGGTTTAGTTTCTCGGAAGGTTGTGGTAATACAGCCCTCATAGTATTTAGATGCCTCAGATTTCTTTAACTCTTGTCAATCTACATTGCTAGATTGCATTGCTTGGTGATCTCCTAATAATGCATAAAAAAAAATTGCAACATACATCAGTAAATCTCAACGTAGTTCATAGTCTTTAATGTTGGAGAGAAACTGAAAGAAACCTGGAATCCCACAATATCATTTTTACAGACTCACTTTTCAGAGTAAAACCACATTTAATGATGCAAGTTTCTATCCATAAGTGCAATTTAATTAGGTATGATTAGTGCCAGGCATAAAACTGCACATTACAATAATTTTCAATAAAAAAGGGACACAGTTTTTAAAGTATTTGTGGGGAAAAAAGTGGCTAGATCTGTGTGTCAGATTGAAACTGGTCCTGGATATTTTGTGTGAAAGGTGACAGAACAGAAGGATGAGACAAACTGACTTTTTTTCCAGATGGTAAAGAATATGATGCTTTTGTGTCTTACCTGAAAGACTCCATACCTACCAATGTAGAAGAAAGAAAATTTGCTCTGGAGATATTGCCCAGGACACTAGAACAACAGTTTGGATACAAATTATGTATATTTGAGCGGGATGTATCTCTTGGAGGAGGTAAGCAAATAGAATGCCATTGATACTGAACTGGTACCAAACTTTCACAAAATGTAATTTGTAATTAGAATGATCTCTATAAATGTGACATTTTTGCTTTTTAAACATGATTCTATTTTGGAGTACGAATGACAGTGTACACATTAACTGACATACAAGCAACATCAGAAGCTGTTCAGAAAGTGTAGACTTATTCTGTCCTTCATTTCAGTGTGTAGAGGTAACCAAAAGAAGAGCTTGAGCCAATGGCCATTGAAATTAATGGAAAGACTCCCATTGATTTGAACAGTCTGAGTCATCCACTAGGTGCATCTTAGCCACAGTGTATAAAGTGTATAAAGGTGGTGATTATC